CGAAAGCTCAGCACGTTTTCACCCGAAACGAGGGAGGAAGACTCGTGGACTGCGTCAACATGAATATCGTCTAAAAGCCAAACGGCTGCAGTGAGATCGACCAACGAATCTCTTCTTCATGCACTTTCATACGAAATGAAAGTCCCGCTAACAATGTTATCTCAGAAGATTCATCGAAACCCAGTTTCTCTTCGTAGCTAACATTCTGTTCAAATGGGTCACGTTCTTTTCCTTCTCTTTTCCGGCTCCTGCGTGTCCCGCGCGGTTTAGAATGTTCCATTTGACGCCATCTTTCAATGATTGCTTTTCTACTCTCAGCTAACCCATACGGCATTGGGCCGTTTTAAAGTAGGACAATTGGTAATACCATTTGTTCCGTTTCTCTCTTCGCTTCGGGGCCTCCGTCTGTGGAGTGAGTTGCATGTTAGAGCAAGTCCACTTCCTTGTCAGGGACAAGACAACAAAGGCATCGGGTGTCGCAAGTTGTCTGAGGCCGAGAGGAAAGCGGTCGATCGGAAAGAGGGTTGTTCATCCTCGTTGGCGCAGTCCTCCGCCGGACAGGCTTGATGCGGCGCGAACGATGCAAATTGCGGACAGTGAATGTGTAAACAAGCGATCAGCTGACCGTTGCAGGCCTGTTCGAGCGCCTCTGGAGCGTAGCACATTCGGGCCGGGATGGTTGGCCGCGAGACGCACACTTTAGGCCAACAACAGCCAAGCGCACGGCATCGCACAGAGACTGGGCCAAAGCTCGGGATGGTGTGAAACTGAGGAAAAAGAGCTCGGCCACACCCTCTGGCCGAGGAGATGCAAAGTGCAACAGAGTCGAGCTGGCCTCGGGCCCGAGCGAGAGGCTGGCGTCAAATGGTGGTTCGTACGAGGCGACCAAGGCCCACTGGCATGCCGACAGCCGATGGTACAGATGGAGGATGCAAGTAACGGACGGACTGACTGACGAGTCCGAGTGTCTGTCGGCACCGGTAGAGGCCGTAGCAACAGGCGTCTGATGAGCTGTACCGACGGACAGTGGAAAAAACTGGTAAACAAGACCGGTTGCTGGGCGGAATTCAGGTTAGCGCAGAGCAGACAAGGAGTTGTCATGTGATCGCTTGCATCTTCCGACAGGACCCTGTTCTGAGGCTGCATCCGAAGCAGACAAGAAAGGTCCACCGAGAAATGCCGATGTTGGAGTATCTTTGATTTCGTAGACTGGCAGTACCGGAAGCAGTGACTGTAGATTTGTGCCAATAGGTCCTCGACCCCGATGAATCCTCGTTGTGACGGACATCGTCGGAGCAGGACACCATGTTTTACGATAATTCACCACAAATAGAAAGACAAGAAAGGTGGCCGGCTTCAAACCTACCCACTTCGGCATCTCATGCTTTGTTGAGCTTACTTCCATTTCGAGTGTAAGTGTTGCGTGAAGAGATTCGAAGCTCGGTTCCACCACAAGACGACGACCAGCTGTCGATTGGCTTTACTGAAACATTCATTCGAGTCAGTCTCCTTCGATTCAGGTGAAAAGGTGCTAAGCTTTCATCCGTCATATGACGAGAATCATCATAGCAAGGTATCATCGTCACAATCAAATTGAAGCCAACGAGTCAAGAAAACTCACCGGTAAATCCACAAAAAGCGGTACATATACTCTATATCTGGCCTCTGATAAGATGTGCCACAATAAATCGCTAAAGATATCTTCGGAACCCAATTTTTCTTCAAATTCCGGTATTATCAGGTTCAGGCCGTCCGGTGTGTTCAGTTGATCCAGGATACCTCAAGCCTAGCACTGCAAGTTCAAAATGTAATATGCAAATTGTAATGGCAGTTGCGATCAAAATGTAAATTTTCGATTGAGGGGATGTCTCGAATCGAGGGACGTGCAGCTGAAAGCTGATCAGCCCAGATCGGAGATCCATTTAAACGCACACAGAAAGTGACAAAGCTGATGTCCAGCGGTATGTGTTAAAGACAAACATAATCAAAATTGTAACTCATTTTTGTAAAAGTAGCATCAGGCCAAAAGGACTGTCTGGATCTATCTTACGTCTTCTATATACTCACAACTAAAGGCGAAAGTATATAGATGTGAATTGATATATATTGATTGTGTGTGTGTGTGTGTACGTACGACAACACACTAAAGTAAAAGTACCATGATCAATATGTAGGGAAATTAGCCAAATCTTATTTCTCTCTCTCTTTCTCGACGATGTTACCTCGCTCTGATGATGTCCGTCATACAACACCGGACACGAAAGCTTATTAGCTTTTCACCGGAATCGAACGAGATTGCCTCGGAAACAGCGCCAGCATGAATCTTCCAGTAAAGCCAATCGACAGCTGGTCACGAGTAATCGACAGTGGCCTTCTGGTGTCTCGTGGGCTGCGCCAAACTGGATATCGTATCAAAGCCAAAAGACTGCAGAACGACGCGAATCAGAAGTGGTCTTCAGGTGAGATCAACCGACCAATCTCTTTAGCATACATTTTCATACCAAATGAAGGCCTATCAAGCTATGCTATCTTAGCAGATTCATCGAAACCCACTTACTCTTCGTGTCTACAGCAGTCTTTGAACGACTAAAAAAGAGAGTATTTAAGAAGAAAAAGTGGGTTTCGATAAGTCTTCCAAGATGATACAAGTGTAGAGATGTTAAGGCATTTGCAACAGAAAAATGGGGTTTACCGCATCGTTAGCCCATAATGCTATAAAGATAACCGGGACAGCATTCACTCCGTTAAGTCCCTATTCTGAGGCTAAATCAGAATGACCCTGGGACCTGAAGGTGATGAGAAAAACAAACAGGCATCAACCTACAAGAGCCGATGCCGCTG